TAAAAAAAAGAAATTTTTAAAATGCTAAAAAAAATACATTTTTCAAACGCTAAAAAAAAGACATTTTTATAATGCTAAAAAAAATCCAAAGAATAACTGCTGAGAGAGAGGAAAAAAAGAATGTTTAAAAAAAAAAAAAGACATTTTTACAAATGCTAAAAAAAAAAAAAGAGAGATTTTTAAAATGCTAAAAAAAACATTTTTAAAACGCCAAAAAAAGAAATTTTTAAAATGCTAAAAATTTTTTTTTTTTAAAATGCTAAAAAAAAGAAATTTTTAAAATGCTAAAAAAAAGACATTTTTCAAACGCTAAAAAAAAGACATTTTTAAAATGCTAAAAAAAATCCAAAGAATAACCGCCGAGAGAGAGAAGAAAAATAATGTTTAAAAAAAAAAAGAAATTTTTACAAACGCTAAAAAAAAAAAAAGAAATTTTTAAAATGCTAAAAAAAAGAAATTTTTAAAATGCTAAAAAAAATACATTTTTAAAACGCTAAAAAAAGGGATTTTTAAAACGCAAAAAAAAGGGATTTTTAATACACTAATAAAAAGGCATTTTAAAACGCTAAAAAAAAAGTCATTTTTAAAACGCTAAAAAAAAAGATTTTTAAAACGCTAAAAAAAATCAAAAGAATAACCGCCAAGAGAGAGAAAAAAAAATGAATGTTTAAAAAAAAAAAAGACATTTTTGGAACACAAAAAAAAACATTTTTAAAACGCTAAAAAAAAGACATTTTTAAAATGCTAAAAAAAATCCAAAGAATAGCCGCCGAGAGAGAGGAAAAAAAGAATGTTAAAAAAAAAAAAAAAAAGACATTTTTACAAATGGTAATGTTTGTGTAGTATTATGTTCAGCAGACTGCGTTCTTCTATTGTGACTTAGATGACGTTCAGAGCACATTTTATGCCCAATTCATGCAAAACTCCACGGAATCCCAAGGGGTTCACATACTTTTTCTTGCAACTAGGAAGTCAACTGGTGAAAGGATACTGAAGTGCTGGACAGGTCCGGGGAATAAAGCCCTCCTCGCGTCTTCTTAGGGAGGCTGGGGTCCTGGCAAAGCATCTCCCTGCTCTGGAAAACTCACATGAATTTCTTGCAGCACCAAAATATCTCCACCCTTTTTACCCCTTCCAGCTCACCTCCATGTTCCCCACCCATGATCGCTGACAGCTGAATTCCAGCAGGAATGTGCTATATAGTGTATTGAGGGAGGTGGGCAATCCTAGGGGTCATCATTACTGGACCGTGACGGAATGCCTGCCACCCCGCTTGTGCCTTCTGTCAGAAAACTGCTTCCTCGCCACCGGGACACAAGACCAAGGTATTATAGCCGGGCATCGCACCCAAGACTAGCGAGAGGCAAGCTGGAACTACTTTACGGAACTGATATGCAGCTTTTATACACTCCAGAAATAGGGGCAGTCCCCACATGAACAATAAAATAATTATTACATCCCACACTGATTAGATAACAAGGTGAAGCATCATGTAGGAGCCTCCAAGAAGACTTGCCAACAGATCCCCAATAGGTGACCCAACTAACAATGGGAATGCACACCTAGGAGGCACCCAATGGGAGAAGATAGTAAACACATATCACCTTAATAAACACATTGGAGTCCTCACATCAGGTCATTTTGCTAATTACATCAACATCTTCTTAGAGTCTCTGAGTCTGGGAAGGAGGGGGAGGGGGGGGGGGTTGAAGTGGTCAGGGCTAGTTTGGGCATAGAGACTCCCAAATCTGTATGTTGGTCCTCCAGTTCTCAGAGTCTGTGTGTTTTGGGGAGACATGGACTTGATTCCCAAGTAAACGGCTCCAAAGGTCCCCCTTAGGACCACATTAAAGAATAGAGCCCCCCAGAGATGCCGGGGCCTTGGTCAGTAGGCAAGAGGCTAGCCTGCAGTCCCCTCCAAGAGCCCCTGTCCCGGTTGGGTCTGTCACATGGACTACACTAGGTCTTCTCTATAGTCCAGATACGGACCATCAATCATGACCACGCCATCATACGTTCACCATCTACAGGTGAAACTCGAAAAACGAGAATCTGGTGCAAAAGTTGATTGATTTCAGTGCAGCAACTTAAAAGGTGAACTAATATATGAGACTCATTCCATGCAAAGCAAGATAGTTCCAGCCGTGATTTGTCATCATTGTGATGATTATGGCTTACAGCTCATGAAAACCCCAAATCCACAATCTCAGAAAATGAGAATATTGTGAAAAGGTGGAATAATCTCGGCTCAAAGTGTCCCACTCTAATCAGCTCATTCAGCCATAACACCTGCAAAGGGTTCCTGAGCCTTTAAATGGTCTCTCAGTCTGGTTCAGTAGGAATCCCAATCATGGGAAAGACTGCTGACCTGACACCATCACTGACACCCTCCATAAGGAGGGAATTGCAGAAGAAGTTGGAGGTTCCCAAAGTGCTGCATCAAAGCACATTAATAGAAAGTTATGTGGAAGGGAAAAGTGTGGAAGAAAAAGGTGCACAAGTTTAGGATTGGTACGCATTGTCCCTCTCACTCCCCCACATCACCCCGAATATCTGGATGTTCATCCATCGGCCATCCGCCTACTCAGACCTTGCAGGATCCAGCACACATGGGGGATGGACAGGGCCGGGCTCTTCCTTAGTATATCGGGCCCCTTGTGTGTTTGGAAAGCAGTGGAGACTCCGGAGTGTAGGTGCGACTATGGTGACATCTAATGGTCTGACAGGAACATGCTACGTTCTCCGGCCCACAATGCAGGCAAGGCTGAAGCTTTGGGAACATGACCAGCCTGTTCCAGGGGACACGGAACCCTCATACAGATCTTACAGGAGAGAATAGGAATGAAAAATGTGTGTTATTAATATTATTATTATTATATTATTATTATTATTATATTATTATTATTATATATTATTATTATTATTATTATTATTATATTATTATTATTATTATTATTATTATTATTATTATTATTATTATATTATTATTATTATTATTATATTATTATTATATTATTTATTATTATTATATTATTATTATTAATATTATTTATTATTATTATTATTATATTATTATTATTATTATTATTATTATTATTATTATTATTATTATTATTATTATTATTATTATTATTATTATTATTATTATTATTATTATTATTATTATTATTATTATTATTATTATTATTATTATTATTATTATTATTATTTATTATATTATTATTATTATTATTATATTATTATTATTATTATTATTATTATTATTATTATTATTATACTATCATTATTATTATTATTATTATTATTATTATTATTATTATTATTATTATTATTATTATTATTATTATTATTATTATTATTATTATCATTATATTATTATTATTATTATTATTATTATTATTATTATTATTATTATTATTATTATTATTATTATTATTATTATTATTTATTATATTATTATTATTATATTATTATTATTATTATTATATTATCATTATTATTATTATTATATTATTATTATTATATTATTATTATTATTATATTATTATTATTATATTATATTATTATTATTATTATATTATTATTATTATTATTTATTATTATTATTATTATTATTATTATTATTATATTATTATTATTATTATTATTATTATATTATTATTATTATTATTATATTATTATTATATTATTATTATTATTATTATTATTGTACATAACAAGGTGAGTGATGAGAGATCTGCAATATATGTGAAGGCTCTGTGTACTCTGAGATACAAGGAGGCTCCAGAAACACTCCGCCATGTTATACAGATCCACTTCCCTTGGTCCACATTTGTAGTTCCAGGTGTGAGGTTAGAGCAGCAGACTAGTACCCGGGGGAGGACTGACAACTCACGGGGCCCCCAGACAATAGGGGATCATGGGGCCCCCGGGCAATAGGGGATCATGGGGCCCCTGGGCAGTAGGGGATCATGGGGCCCCGGGCAATAGGGGATCATGGGGCCCCCGGGCAATGGGGGATCATGGGGCCCCTGTGTCCTTGCCCAAATTCAAAAAAGCCTATGAAAAAGGTACCAGGGGCATCTCATGGGGCCCCCTACTGACCCTGGGCCCTCGGCAGTGCCCGAGTTTCCAAATGGTCAGTCTAGTACCTTTCAAATTGTGCAGCAAGGAAGTCGAAGGACACATGAAGTGCTCCAAACCACTACAGTCAGGGGTGAGGAGTCAAAGGGAGAGCAGCTGTCCAACTGGACGCTACAGTCCCCAGTGACTTTCCGCAGCCATCTTGGTTGGGGCAGCCCTATTAAATATTATTATTATTATTATACGGTATTTATAAAGCGCCAATAGTTCGCTCAGCGCTGTACATTACAGGGGGGGACAGAACATGTGACAGAACAATAACAATACAATGCAAAACATGAGGGGATCGAGGGCCCTGATCCTGGGAGCTTACAATCTAGGAGGGGGGGGATGGTGGTACGGGAGGAGATGGCTGTGGGGGATGGGGTGGTAGGAAGAGAGGAGGAGGTCGGCAGGTTAGCAGGGGGTGGGGTAGGCTTCCCTGAAGAGATGGGTTTTCAGGGTGTGCCTAAAGGAGAGGAGAGTAGGTGATAATCTGATGGGTTGGGGCAGGGAGTTCCAGAGGATGGGTGACACCCTGGAGAAGTCCTGGAGGCGGGCATGGGAGGAGGAGACCAGGGAACTAGAGAGAAGGAGGTCTTGTGAGGGGCGGAGTGTGCGTGTTGGGCGGTACTTGGATATTAGGTCGGTGATGTAGTTCGGGGCAGTATGGTGGACGGCTTTGTACGTCAGTGTTAGGATTTTGAATTTGATCCGTTGCGCAATCGGAAGCCAGTGGAGGGATTGGCAGGGGGGTGGAGGACACTGAGTGGAGGCCAGTGGAGGGATTGGCAGAGGGGGGTGGAGGACACTGAATGGAGGCCAGTGGAGGGATTGGCAGAGGGGGGTGGAGGACACTGAATGGAGGCCAGTGGAGGGATTGGCAGAGAGGGGTGGAGGACACTGAATGGAGGCCAGTGGAGGGATTGGTAGAGGGGGGTGGAGGACACTGAGTGGAAGTCAGTGGAGGGATTGGCAGAGAGGGATGGAGGACAGTGAGTGGAGGCCAGTGGAGGGATTGGCAGCAGAGGGGGGTGGAGGACACTGAATGGAGGCCAGTGGAGGGATTGGCAGAGGGGGGTGGAGGACACTGAGTGGAGGCCAGTTGAGGGATTGGCAGAGGGGGGTGGAGAACATTGAGTGGAGGCCAGTGGAGGGATTGGCAGAGGGGGGTGGAGGACACTGAGTGGAGGCCAGTGGAGGGATTGGCAGAGGGGGGTGGAGGACACTGAATGGAGGCCAGTGGAGGGATTGGCAGAGGGGGGTGGAGGACACTGAATGGAGGCCAGTGGAGGGATTGGCAGAGGGGGGTGGAGGACACTAAATGGAGGCCAGTGGAGGGATTGGCAGAGGGGGGTGGAGGACACTGAGCGGAGGCCAGTGGAGAGATTGGCAGAGAGGGGTGGAGGACACTGAGTGGAGGCCAGTGGAGGGATTGGCAGAGGGGGGTGGAAGACACTGAGCGGAGGCCAGTGGAGGGATTGGCAGAGAGGGGTGGAGGACACTGAGCGGAGGCCAGTGGAGAGATTGGCAGAGAGAGGTGGAGGACACTGAGCGGAGGCCAGTGGAGGGATTGGCAGAGGGGGGTGGAGGACACTGAATGGAGGCCAGTGGAGGGATTGGCAGAGGGGTGTGGAGGACACTGAATGGAGGCCAGTGGAGTGGAGGTGAAAGTGTCCGGACTGGAAGGGGGGGGAAAGTGTCCGGACTGGAAGGGGGGGAAAGTGTCCGGACTGGAAGGGGGGGAAAGTGTCCGGACTGGAAGGGGGGGAAGTGTCCGGACTGGAAGGGGGGGGGAAAGTATCCAGACTGGAAGAGGGGGAGTGTCCGGACTGGAAGGAGAAGAGAGCCTGACATTGACCAACAACACCCCTGCCCCCTTCCACTACCACTGCCCCCCATACACCATCATGAAACCCGCAGCCTCCCTTGAAACCCTCCAGGTCCTCATACCACGTGTGTCCATTACTCCGAGGAGCAGTGTTGCCCCCCCTGAAAGATGCTGCAATAGGCAAATGCCTTGTGGTAAGTACACCCCAGCTCGTTGCTGCAGCTACCCGTCCAGACATGTGGTGGCATCCAGGTGAAGGGAAGCTTGGAAATCCAAGGCCTCTGGATGGTTGGTAGTGACGTCATTGTGAACTGATGTCATCATAGAGATATCTGAGACTTCTGAACAACCATTAAAATTGACAGATAATTGGCACCATGGCGACTCTCTTCCAGTGGAAAAGAAACCTCAAATCCAAAAACCGGTTATTCTGTAAATCCAAAATGTTCTTCTACTCGGTGAGGGAAATCATTGATGCTTCTGGTGAGCAGTTATTACAAGCAAACCACTGGAGACAAAATGGTACGTTGAGGTCAGGCTGCCTGGAAAGCAGTGAAAGTCGGGGAAGGTGTCCATGTCTGCTGTAGTCAGAGGTTGTGGATGAGATATTAGACGAGTATTGGGAGCCAGACAACTGGCCAGAAGATGTTTCACTTGAGTATCCTTGATAATCCAGAAATGTCAGAAGGTTCCCACTTGGAGCCAAGGCCTACAGAATCCACATCAAGCCAGCATTGGAGAGCTTTCTAGTACTGACAAGGTTAATGTAGGGACCCCGACATACTGACGGACAGTCTCCTAATGCCTTTAATGGTTGACTTTCCTCTTCTCCTTGAACACAATGTAACACTTGGAAACAACGAGTCACACACTGGACCCAACTCCAAATGATTCTGCTTAAGTACCCTGACCTTTGTTCTCCAACTTCTGAAAGCCGTGTTGGATCCATTTCTATATTATGTCAAATCAAAACTCGTTAACATGAAGAAAGAGCAGACTACACGAGACGCCGATTAATAAAGAACATCGCAAAATAAAAGTCATGGCCACGGATAAGAGAGCTGAATTCACCGACTTGGACGGACCAGGAATTCTGGGGTGAGCTTTTCTGACTCGGAAAAAGGTTGGAAGAAGAATGGATTGTTAGATGTCTGGTTTTCCAGAAGGTCGGGTGTTTCCTGACATAGAAAACATATTAGGAGTGTTCTGGGGGGGCTGGTGTGTTCATCCACTCCGATTCTGCTGTCCGAGATCGGGAACATCCCACACAAAGGATGTAGAATATATACCCGACAAGGAGACATTGGAGGATAAATCACCTTTAGGACAAAATAACGATTGCGTGTCTTTCTGCAGGTAAAAAAAAGGCATTAATTGTTTTATTACACAGGAGCCTGAAAAGCATTGCAACCGTGATCAGCCGACTGTGGGTGCAATGCCTGGCAAAGGCCCACTCTCAGTACACTGTCTGCCCATACCTCCCGTACCTCCATACCTTCATACCTCCCGTACCTCTGTATCTTCTGTGCCTCCATACCTCCCATACCTCCATACCTTCATACCTCCCGTACCTCCATACCTTCATACCTCCCGTACCTCCATACCGTCATACCTCCCGTACCTCCATACCGTCATACCTCCCGTACCTCCATACCATCATACCTCCCGTACCTCCATACCTTCATACCTCCCGTACCTCCATACCTTCATACCTCCCGTACCTCCATACCTTCATACCTCCCATACCTCCATACCGTCATACCTCCCGTACCTCCATACCTTCATACCTCCCGTACCTCCATACCTTCATACCTCCCGTACCTCCATACCTTCATACCTCCCGTACCTCCATACCGTCATACCTCCCGTACCTCCATACCGTCATACCTCCCGTACCTCCATACCATACCTCCCATACCTCCATACCGTCATACCTCCCGTACCTCCATACCTTCATACCTCCCATACCTCCATACCGTCATACCTCCCGTACCTCCATACCGTCATACCTCCCGTACCTCCATACCGTCATACCTCCCGTACCTCCATACCTTCATACCTCCCGTACCTCCATACCGTCATACCTCCCGTACCTCCATACCTTCATACCTCCCGTACCTCCATACCTTCATACCTCCCGTACCTCCATATCTTCATACCTCCCGTACCTCCCGTACCTCCCGTACCTCCATACCTCCCATACCTCCATACCTTCATACCTCCCGTACCTCCATACCGTCATACCTCCCATACCTCCATACCTCCCGTACCTCCATACCTTCATACCTCCCATACCTCTGTATCTCCTGTGCCTCCATACCTCCCACACCTCCATACCTCCATACCTTCCATACCTCTATACCTTCTGTACTTCCATACCTTCATACCTCCCGTACCTCTGTATCTCCCATACCTCCGTATCTTCTGTGCCTCCATACCGCCATACCTCCATACCTTCCATACCTCTATACCTTCTGTACTTCCATACCTCCCATACCTCCGTATCTCCCATACCTCCATACCTTCCATACATCTATACCTTGTGTACCTCCATACCTTCCATACCGTCATACCTCCCATACCTCTGTATCTCCCATACCTCCATACCTTCCATACCTCTATACCTTGTGTACCTCCATACCTTCCATACCGTCATACCTCCTGTATCTCTGTATCTCCCGTACCTCTATTTCTCCTGTGCCTCCATATCTCTGTATCTCCATACCTTCCATACGTCCATACCTCCCGTACCTCCATAACTCCTGTGCCTCCATACCTCCGTACTTCCTGTGCCTCCGTATCTCCCATACCTCTGTGCCTCCCGTACTTCCATACCTCCCATATATATACCTGTATACTGCCATTCTTCCAATACCTCTATACCTCCCATACCTCCATGCCTCCTGTACCTCCATACCTTCGTACCTCCAGTACCTCTATGCCTCTGTACCTACCATACCTCTATACCTTTGTACCTTGCATACCTCTATACCTCTACACCTCCGTACCTCCCTTACCTCTATACCTCTCGTATGTGCAGGCAATTACTGTATTCCAGGAAGAATCGATGACTACAAGAGCGCTCACCAGCGCCCTCACAGTTTATTGAAAACTACAAGCGGCAGCCAACGGGGCCAGGACAAGGGGTGGGCTGGAGGGTCAGCTGCCCTGGGCACAAAGAATTACTGTATGGATGGGGGCACCTTCCTTCTGTTTCAGCCCAGCTCTGGGAGTGGCAGGGAAAGGAGGAGAGAGCCGAGAGGTGATGCAGGCTGTGTTCTCTCTCCCCCTCCTCCTTTCTGCAAGCTCCTGTATTCAGAAGCATCTTTGCCTTGGGCGCTAGATGACCTTGTCCAGCACTGGAAGCCAATGGTAGTTGCAGTTCATTCATTCATGACACGGCCGTGTGGGAGGAGCCCTGCATGACCATGCTGTTTTTAAATTACGACAGAGAAGATTCCCCACCCACTATCATGGTGGGAGCATTGGTAAGCTTTAGTTATGAAGGTCAAGGGGAGCTTGTCACTGCCAAGGGGGGAGCTTGTCACTGCTATGGGGGAGCTTGTCACTGCCATGGGGGAGCTTGTCACTGCTATGGGGGAGCTTGTCACTGCTATGGGGGGAGCTTGTCACTGTTATGGGGGAGCTTGTCACTGTTATGGGGGAGCTTGCCACTGTTATGGGGGAGCTTGTCACTGCTATGGGGGAGCTTGTCACTGCCATGGGGGAGCTTGTCACTGCTATGGGGGAGCTTGTCACTGCCATGGGGGAGCTTGTCACTGCTATGGGGGAGCTTGTCACTGCCATGGGGGAGCTTGTCACTGCTATGGGGGAGCTTGTCACTGCCATGGGGGAGCTTGTCACTGTTATGGGGGAGCTTGTCACTGCTATGGGGGAGCTTGTCACTGCTATGGGGGAGCTTGTCACTGCCATGGGGGAGCTTGTCACTGCCAAGGGGGGAGCTTGTCACTGTTATGGGGGAGCTTGTCAGTGCCATGGGGGAGCTTGTCACTGCTATGGGGGAGCTTGTCACTGCTATGGGGGAGCTTGTCACTGTTATGGGGGAGCTTGTCACTGCCATGGGGGAGCTTGTCACTGCTATGGGGGAGCTTGTCACTGTTATGGGCGGAGCTTGTCACTGCCATGGGGGAGCTTGTCACTGCC